GGGTTGAATGTTAACTACTTTCGTTTCCATATAACTATAAACTACGATAAAAGTTCATCAGCATGCATTGATTAATAGCATGTTGTAGCGCAAAAAAAAAACCTGCTTGTGCAACCAACTGAGAAAGTTAATCGCAAAAGAGCAACCAGTGGGAAGAATGAGTCTGGAGTCCTGAATTGCCCAGCTCCCTCTGTCAATGATCTAGCACCCCCTCAGCACCTGCGTTCAAAATTCTCTGGCGCCGCCCCTGGTACATCGATGTATTTTTGAAAAGCAAAAATGAAGTTTGTCCAACTCTAAACCCAGTCCCCAAGTAAATTAGGTTATTAAATAAAAAACTAGCAAAACGAGTTGCGCGGTGTCCCCACCACTTTTCAAAGCAAAGTTACGCCACTGCCGAAAGTTGTAATTAATTGCTACAGCATGTATATACTGTATGTATAGGGAGAATCGACGACTGATCTGTAAAATTCCTATAATAAAACTTAAACTGAAAAAAGGCATATCAAAGCCAGCAGAAGTTCTTACCTGTGACCAGTTCTCTGACTTCCACATCTGAGGTCTTACGCAGCAGGCGGACCAGCGCAGGAATTCCACCGCAATTCTTCAGAGCGATTTTATTATCATCATTGGCTTTGCCGTAAACGAGGTTCCTCAGGGCACCACAGGCGCTTCTGTGTACTTCAGCCATTCTGTGATCCAACAGGTCCACCAACAACTGAATACCGCCCTGCCTCCGTATCTGAGAGAAACAGACCGATAGAGGGTGATGGGTGATGTGCATTTTCATGTTTTAAGACTTAAAGACTGGATTGAGAACATGAGTAAACAATAAAATCTACATAAAAGGCATCTACAAAACTGTTTTCAAGTCAGTTTTAATATAACATGATAAGAAAAATGTTAAAATAAATTCATTTTTGTCCACTCGAGGCACCAGTGAGCTGAAAAGGGCTTTGAAAATTCATTCCTATTCACATTTTGAACATGAAGTCCTGATTTGAATGCAACTTCAATCAATCTAATGAAGAATTATTGGTCAGTGAGAACATGGCGGCCTTGGCCTCAACTCATGGGAAGACATTCGAAACGTTGACCTTTCCATTCTTACATTCAGCAGTACTGCCTCATATAAATGAAAAAAAAAAAAAGTCTGAATTCAGTGTTAAGTCACACCAAAACAGCTTAGTGTCAGCCCATGAGATCATTTGGAGGATAAATGAACAAAATGAACAAACCGAATCCATAACACTGTATTTGAAAAATCAATACTTAAGGGAGCCGGAGAATGAATCAAATGAATCACTGCTAAACAGACTGAGTGGTATGAGTAAATCTTTATCAACAGAGCTTTGCTGTTCTACACTAAAGTCAATTAAAGCCAGCCAAGCTCATTAGAAGATCTGAGACCACACTACAAAAAGCTGCATGTTACTAAACGCTATGGAAAAACAACACGATCTGACATCAACTCACCAAAGCCTTCTCATCTTGATAGCTGGTGCCATTTTTAAAATATTTTCAGGAATAGTTACCTCAAAAAAATGAACATGCTGCCATTATTTTCTTATCTTCATGTCATTCTAAACCGTATGATTTTTTTTTTTTTTTGTGAAATCCAAAAGGAGATATTTGGCAGAATGCCTGAGCTGCTGTTTTCCATCCGTATTGTAATTAACTAAAACTACAACTATAGAAAAGCATTTTCAGTAAATAAATTAAGCTGAAATAAAATAAAATTAGTTAAATAAAGTTAAATGAATTAAATAAAATATAAATAACTAAAATGAAATTGTACTAAAATAAACTAAAATGAATAAAAATGATTTTCATTAAATGAAACAAAGCTGAAATACAATAAAATAAAATAAAATAAATATTAAATGAAAAGGTAAATGGAAAATTTAGAAATATTGCCATGGCATCAAAATAAAATAAAATAAATTTAAGTACTAACTGAACTAAAACTAAAAAATATAAATGAAAGCTAAATAGAAATATAAACAAAACATTACAAAATTACTAAAATTTAAAACTTAAATAGAAAAAATAGAAGCTAATTTTAAATATGAATTATTTACCCTATATACAGTGGGTACGGAAAGTATTCAGACCCCCTTAAATTTTTCACTCTTTGTTATATTGCAGCCATTTGCTAAAATCATTTAAGTTAATTTTTTTTCCTCATTAATGTACACACAGCACCCCATATTGACAGAAAAACACAGAATTGTTGACATTTTTGCAGATTTATTAAAAAAGAAAAACTGAAATATCACATGGTCCTAAGTATTCAGACCCTTTGCTGTGACACTCATATATTTAACTCAGGTGCTGTCCATTTCTTCTGATCATCCTTGAGATGGTTCTACACCTTCATTTGAGTCCAGCTGTGTTTGATTATACTGATTGGACTTGATTAGGAAAGCCACACACCTGTCTATATAAGACCTTACAGCTCACAGTGCATGTCAGAGCAAATGAGAATCATGAGGTCAAAGGAACTGCCTGAAGAGCTCAGAGACAGAATTGCGGCAAGGCACAGATCTGGCCAAGGTTACAAAAAAAATTCTGCTGCACTTAAGGTTCCTAAGA